TAGTGTTGGCCCACAAGGAGCACTGCTGAAGCTCTCCCCGGACCTCTGCACTACTTCTGATCTCTATGCAGTCTCCCTCTGTTGACAGGGATAAAAGAGATGGGAAATAACTGCCTGCCAGAAACACTGACGCCTTTGAGGAGTGAAAGGGTTGGCAGCTCTCTGTCAGCTCATGGTTGAGGAAGTCACGTGAAAAGGCAACAATATAAAAAGTTAACAAAATTTCAGTCATGCAGGATGAATAAGTTCTGAAAATACAATGTACAGCGTGATGACCACAGTTAATAATACTGTATTCTGTATTTGAAATTTGCAGAGAGTAGATCTTAAATATTCTCACCATTAAAAAAAAGATTAAAAATTTCAAAAACTAAAAAGTTAATAGTTAAACAAACTTCTTAACTTTCTAGAAGTTTAAAAAGCTTAAAAGTTTAAAATGATTAAATTTAAAAATAAAAACTAAATCTAAAACTGAATGAACTAGTAAACGTGAAAGGCGGTGATGGGCACACACAGCAATGTGGGTAAGCTCCAGCTGGTGCCACTCCCGTCTGTGATTCTCCAGGCTAGGCCCTCTTCCTAGGACAGGCAAGAAGAAGAATAACGCAGAACGATTATTCTCTTCTTAACTTCCACAGGCTGAGAAGATTATGGCATCTTTTACGAGTCCAGAAGTCTTACCACATTTCTCTAGGAAGCATACTCTCCCATTCTTTTCCGATGACCTTTCTGTTCCTTCCTCCCTCCCATCAAACTGCCACGCTCTCTGCTCTCCTCCCATATTTTGGCTGATGATTTTGCCTCATACATTATTGAGGAGGGAGGCCCCACCAGACATGAACCCTTTCATCTTACCACTGCCAAATCTAGGAATGTTCTGGCATTCAAAATCATCTTTTACTTTGGCCCACCTGTTAAAAATGAGGATGTCTCTGGACTTCATCCCATCACAGCTTCCTAAAGACTGGAACACTTCAGTGATCCTGTCTCATGCATCTTTAACTTTTCTTTCTATGAATCATTTCCTTTGGCATTCAAGCGCTGCCTTTTATCTCCAGCTATAGATAATACTTGCTATGACCCCCACCGCTGCCTTCTTCTGCAATGATGCTATTCTTAACTTTTGCAGCCAAGCTTCTTTCAACAATTGTCTACATGTGCCATCTCTAGTTCCTAACCACCTATTTACACTTCATACCATTCTAATCTGGCTTCTACACCATTTCACCAAAACTATTTTTGTCAGTGATAACTCTGTCACCTAGCCGAATGAGCAGCCAACTAAACTTCTATCGCCATTCACACAACTAGCCACTCACTGCTTCTTGAACCCACTTCTTTTTTAGTCTCTGTGTTGCCAAAAACCACTCTTGGATTTCTCCAATTTCACTTGTCGCTCCATCTCATTATCCTTCATGGGCTCCTTCCCGTCCTTCTAACATCTAAATGTTGGAATTCATTGAGGCTTGGTACTGTGTTCTCTAGTCTCTATATAAACCCTTTATCTGAGTGATTTTATTGATTTCCTTGGCTTCAAATACAATCTATAGGCCAACAATTCTGAAAGTTAAAGCTTTAGTCCAGAGCTCTCTTCTGAAATCCATACTATTACATCAAATGCATCCTTGACTTATTTGCTCTGAAGTCTCAAAGAGATGTGAAATGTCACATGTTTAAAATCCATCTAGGAGGACTCACTCTACCTGATTTCAGGATTTATCATAAAGCTACAGAAATCAAGTCTGTGGAGCATTACCCAAAAAATAGATAAATAGATCAATGAAATAAGCTACAGTCCAGAAATAAACCCATAAATACATGGCCAATTGATTTTTGACAAAGATACCAAGGCAATTCAATGGTGAATTTGTCTTTTTAATCAATGATGTTGAAACAATTGGGCATGCATACAAAAAACGATGGACCTCAACCCACATCTCACACCATACACAAAAATTAACTCAAAATGAATACTAGACTTAAAAGTAAACCTGAAATTTAAAACTTTCAGCATAAAACATAGGAGAAAATTTTGCTACCTGAGGTAATCAAAGATTTCTAACATAGGATGCAAAAGGCACAAACCATAGGAGGAAAATTTGATAAATGAATTTATCAAAATTAAATTCTTCTGCTCTTTGAAAGACACTGTTAGGAAAATAAAAAGCCAAAGAATGAATAAAAATATGTGCAAACTGCATAACTGATGAAGAACTAGTATGTAGAATATATAAAGAGCTCTCTCAAATCAATAATAAGAAAACAAACAACCCATTTAAAAGAAAAAAAAAAGAACAGAAGATATAAACAGACATTTCACCAAAGTGAAAATATAGCTGACAAATAAATACATAAAGAATACTCAACATCTTTAATCATTTGGGGCATTCAAATTAAAACCACAATGACATAGTGTTACATACCTGTTAGAATGGCTAAAATTAAAAATATCACATTAGCAAGTTCTGGCAAGGACGAGGAGCGATTGGAATTCTCACACATTGCTGGTGGAAATAAATAATGCTATAACCACTTTGGAAAACAGCATGGCAGTTTCTTATAAATTTACCACACAACCCATCATTTTACTCCTAGATATTTACCCAAGAGAAATGAAAATATGTCCACATAAGAACCTGTAAGCAAATGATGGTATCAGCTTTTCTTCAAGATTTACAAAAACTGGAAACAATCCAAATGTCCCTCTACTGAAGAGTGATAAACTGTTACATGTATAGAATGGAATACCTCTCAGCAATAAAAAGGTCTGATTTACTGGTCCATGCACTTTCATGGGCGAATCTCAAATCCGTCATGCTAAGTGGGAAAAACCAGACTCAAAAGGCTACATATTGTATAATTTAATTTACATGACATTCTGGGGGGAAAAAAAAAGGCAAAGCTATAGAGACAGTAAATATGAGGGTACTTCAAAAAGTTTGTGGAAAAATAGAATTAAAAGATAACACGAATCTTTCCATGAATTTTTTGAAGTACCTCCATAACAGTGGTTGACAAGGTATGGGGGAGGGGGAGGAGATTAACTACAAAGGACAATAGGGAACTTTTTGAAATAATTAATGGTGATGGTTTCAAAAAATAGTGTTTCCCCAAAATAGTAATTTTACTGTGAGATTTATGGTGTGTAAATTATAACCTCTATAAACCTGACTTTAAAAAAAATACTGATTTAACAATCATCCCCACATAGATGTTTTTTCCTCAAGTTTCTCCATCTCAAAAAGTGGCATAACTATGTGCTCATTTTCTAAACCCAGAAACTTTGGAATGTTATTTGGAACTTTGTTTTACTTTACCCTCCATCCACATCTAATTCATTTTCAAATCCTATCAGTTCTGCTTCCAAAATATATTGCGGTCAACGACGGACTGCATATATCGACAGTGGTCCCAAAGATTATAATAGAGCTGAACAATTCCTGTTGTCTAGTGATGTCACAGCTGTTGTAACACAGCAAAACACATTACTCTTGTGTTGCTGGTGTGGACAATCCTACTGTGCTGCCAGTCTATTAAAGTATAGCACGTACAATTATGTACAGTACAGAATATTTGATAATGATAATAAGTGACTACTGGTTTATGTATTTACTATACTATACTTTTAATAATTTTATTTTAGAGTGTACTCCTTCTACTTATGAGAAAAAAAAATTAACTGTAAAACAGCCTCAGGCAGGTCCCTCAGGAGGGATTCCAGCAGACGGTATTGTTATCACAGGAGATGACAGCTCCATGTGTATTACTGGCCCTGAAGACCTCCCAGCAGGACAAGATGTGGAAGGGGAAGATGGCGATATGGATGAGCCCTATGTAGGCCTAGGCTTGTGGGTGTATTTGTGTTTTAGTTTGTAACCAAAAACTTCTAAAAAGTAAAAACAAAATTTAAAAATTTAAAAGTAGGAAAAAACTTACAGAATAAGGATATAAAGAAAGAAAATATTTTTGTACAGCTGTGCAATGTGTTTGTGTTTTAAGCTAAGTGTTACTAGAAAGGAGTCAAAAAGTTTTAAAAAATTAAAAAGTTTATAATGTAAAAAAATTACAATAAGTTAAGGTCAATTTATTATTGAAGAAAGAGAAATTGTTTTTAGAAATTTAGTGTCGTGTAAGTGTACGGAGTTTTAAGTGTACAGCAGTGTGCAGAAAGTCCCAGCCCTTCACACTCACTCACTGCTCACTCACTGACTCATCCACAGCAGCTTCCAGTCTTGCAAGCTCCAGTCATGTAAGTGTTCGATACATGTGTATCTTATTTTATCTTATATTTTGTATTTTTTTTGTACCTTTTCTATGTTTAGATATGTTTAGATACACAAATGTTTACCATTGTGTTACAATCGTCTCCAGTATTCAGAACAGTAACATGCCATACAGGTTTGAAGCGTAGGAGCCATGGGCTGTACCATATCGCCTCAGTGTACAGAGCCTACACCATCTCTGTTCGTGTAAGTACACTCTATGATGTTCACACAACCACGAAATTTCTCAAAATGTACCCCCATAACCATGCATTTCTCAAAATGTATCCCCGTTATTGAGATACATGACTGTACTTTTTGTTTCTTCCTTCAGATTTCCCCAATTAATAATTGCATATTTATGAATTTATTTTGTTAATATGATCTCCCTCACTAAGATATAAGCTCTTTGAAGGAAGGAACTATTTTTTTCTTTTTTACTTAGTTACATTACCTGATGCATAGTAGGAGCTAAAAAAATATTCGTTAAGTAAACGAGTAAATTAATGAGCTTCCTACAGTTAAAAAATAATAACAAGATGCCAATGTGATTATCACTGAATGCCCTGAGCTAACAGTACTAAACACATATATGTATGTGTATTTTTAGGGCCCCCTGAACTCAGCTTAATGCATGGGGAATGCCTACTGCATTGCTTGAGGTGGGTAGGAATCACCAAATCTCAAAGCCATTAGTGTGCAATCAGAGAATGATGCTGCCCACCCAGAAAGGCTTACCTCTCCAAACCAATTGCTTGGCACAGAGAATGGAGCTTGGAGTTGTACAGAAGTGCAAAGCTGTGTGTCCACTCAAGGAGTAGCAATTGAGCTTTGCACCACGGTCACAGAGGATCTTAACACAATCCAGGTTGGCCATTTCACAAGCCACATGGAGAGGAGTTTTCCCATTGGGTCTACAGTTGATTGTAGCATTGTGGTCCAGTAGCACCAGAAGACATTCCACATGACCAAACCAGACCGACAGATGTAGGCCTGTTGCCCAGGAAGACTTTAATTTATAACTAGGCAACCAATAACCTAAAAAAGAAAAGAAAAGAAGGTTTGTAACTTCTTGACTTAAGATTTCTCCCAGTTTTGTGAGGATTTTTACAAAATATTTTATTTTTGTCACATTTTTAAAATTAGGGAAAAATTGATTCAAAGGTTTTAGACCAGTAGTTAACGGGTCTGCAAATTTTTTGTTCAGTAGCATATTTTGATGTACTTAAAAGAGACAGGCTTTCTCACGTTCTCAATGTCTCTACTATTCCCTATTACCTTGCTCCTTTATTTACTTTACTTTCCTGGGTCTCGAAGGCATTTGAGTTTGAGACCATCCTTTATATGATTGTATTTTGTTTTACATGGTGAGTTACATGAGACTCTTGAGGAATTTTTTTTAACTCTCAATTACTGAGAGTTTGTCTTGAATAAATCCAAAGCTATTAGGCATAAGCTTATAAGTTTTATTCCATCCCAGTTCTCTCTCCCTATAGTTGTCAATCGAAGGCGTGAATGTGTTTAACATTTTTTTTTAAATTTGTCATGTTAAGATTTTATTTGCCTGCCTGCTGGTTTATACAATATCTCTTTTCAAAGAAGAATTTAAGGCAACTCACAAATTTTACACAATATAAGATTTTTTTTTAATGATCTAGAGTATAAGGGCAAAGAAAAGAAAGGTAGAAAAATAAAAAGAAATCAAGAGCAAGATAGGTACATGAAATATACACAGTGTCCTGTACGCTAGAACTGCACTGCAAATCTGCCTTTGAACTTCCTAGCAGCCAAAATAAACAGGAAAACAAGATGTGTTGCAAAATTAACTATGCCCACAGCTATACACAAATTAATTAATTGGGAGGAGTACAGTTGCTCCTAGAACTGAGATCTCTTAGATAAATTTTTTTCCATTAGTTGTTGGAGATGTTCATTCTCTCTATCTCTTCCCACCCCACCCCCCTCGTATTTCTCCTTTCTCCCTCGGACCTCTGACTTCTGTACACTGAGCTAATCCTTTTTTCTACAAGTCTCCACCAATTTCCATATTTGACAAACTACAACAGTGATGACTTTATAAACCTTCTTTCAAAGTCAATACATACAACAGTAGCGTTTAAGTTCACTACGAGTGAGAAATAAAAAATAGGTACAGAAAGATGAAACGCTGATGGTAAGATAAGTTGCAGAGATAGCTCTGCAGCCTAGAAGATAGTCTAGGGCTGAAGCAACAATATAAATTTTATCATGGTTAAATCCAACGTTTGCTTTCGGGTTATAAAATTTTTACTTACAAGTACAAGGTAAGCAGAATATGGTTTGATGGTCATTTATTTCAGAAAAGATGCAGGGTTTTAAGTTGACAGTAATCTCAAAATGAGCCAACAGTAGGATAGAACTGCCAAAAAATGAACACGATCTTAAGCTACATTAATAAAAGTGAAGTACTCAGAACAAGAGAAGTAAAAGTTGTCTTCTTCACTGGTTAGATGAGGCCAGAATAGTCTAGAATATTATAATTACTTCTGGCACCACAAGAAATGATAAGCAACTAGAGGGCACTCTGAGGATGACAACCACATTAAAAGTGGGCCTGATGATCAGGTATTAAGACTCTCTCATTTTGGTGAAAAGCACTGCATACGTGCACTCCTTGGTATTTATCCAACAAGTTTAGTCACTCAGGTGTGAAATGCCCTAAAAGACCATTATATTCCACAACTTCAGAGAAACACAGTTTGCAGCATATTCTGTGAAAGGTGCTCCTAGGAATTAGCAACGTGGCAACACGGCCTACATACAAGAATATGCACTGCACTACAGCATTGTTCATGATGGCTAAGTGACTGGGAACAACCTCAGTGCTCTTCAATAGGAGACAGTTCAAATAATTATGGTATATCCATACAATCAAATACTATACTGCCATTAAAAAAGAATGGGACAATTCTGAATAGACTGAAATGGAAAAATTTCAAGATACATCATTGAGTGAGAGAAGCAGAGGTACATACTGAACAGTAGGCATACTATGCAGCCTTATGCAAATATATTTGTAAACACCTAGAAGAAGAAACTGGTTACAGTGGTGGCCTCCAAGAAGAATTGTGTGGCTTGGGGACAAGGACATAGATGTACTTGTTCATCAATTCCCCCTTTGTAACATTTAAATTTAGTAATTTGTGCATATATTACTTTTTATATAAATAAGTATAATTAAACCTAGCTACACACACACACACACACACACACACACATCCCTAATCCCTTTTTCATTCCATTCAGAATTCTAAGGCCATCTTGCTCTCCCTCACTCCCACCTTTCCTCTTATCCAAATCTGTTCTTTAAAATCTGCAGTTTCACACTAAGGTCTAATGGACTGAGAATTGTTTAAAGTGTGATCCCTCTCAAGATTATCTGAATTTATGTAGGAAACTGGATTCGGCTAATACAATTAAGGTTTAAGATACTAATTTGAGATTCCAGATAACGAGAGGGATGATATTTGGTGATAAGGCCTTTCCCTGGCAGAGCTAAGTAGTATCACAGACAGTCTGAGCTGGGGAGTATCAACCCCATGCCTCTAGTGTGTGAATGTGTTGTGTGTGTTTAGATAGATATGCACACACAATGTCTGTGTGTGTATTGTGTGTACATTTCTATTTGGCTATGTTCATTGAATCTGTGTTCTAAGCAAGCAGAGTTCCCAAGCTAAATGGTATATAACTTACTTTTGAAAATGAATAAATCACATTAACACCAATACTTAATCAGCCATTTTAATATTCAAATTTCCTTAACATGCAATTTGCAAAGACAGTCTTTTTTAAGTATCTTAGAAAGAAGCTGGTTCCAGATCTGAAAACCGGGACGGGTTTTGCCTGCTGGTTAGCAGCAAAGATTAGGCAGCTCTATGTGGTGACTGATTGGAAACTCACACCTGCTTCTGCAATGGAAAGAGAAATGATGTTGGGAAGGAAGCAGCAGAGAGCTGATTAAGAAAACACCATTTTGATGTAAAATCAAAGAAACACAGAATGTTAGCACTGGAGGGAAGATTATTCAGTCCAAGCCTTTCATTTTTCCAGATGAGAAAACTGACACTTTTTCAGCCTACAGGAGTCATAAGTTGCCTGCCTCAGCCCAAACTCGTGGACTCAGAATACACGCAATGCAGAGTTTCCATCTGTCTCTGTCTTTGTGGAAGCAGAACAGGTTTAGCTCCAAGCCTGCTTCACAAATCACAAGAAAAGGAGAAGATCCCGAATTCATCTATAGTATGTCACATCTGTGACATGAAAATGCATTTGTTTGTTGGTTTTTTTCTTCCTCCTAAACTCCTACCGGCACCTAGAGAATTTACCCTGCTCATTTATTACACAAATCAGTCAACCTTGGCCTCTCAGTCAGTTTCATCTGTGTCTTCTATAATCATAAACATTCACTGGTAACTCAGACTCGCAGACTACCAGGTCCTGGAATCAGCCGACCCCCAGAATGGAATTGTGTCTACAACTCACCTCTCCTGGATGGGAATGTGTGAAGATGGGTGGCAACGAGATACCTTAGCTCCTGGAGAGCTAAAATAGAGAAATGACAGTCTGTCCTATTCCCATACAGCCATGCCTCAGGGCATGCTGAAGTATACCTTAAAGCTGTGTTGCAGAACTTTGGCGGTAATGTGGGGAAGGGGCTTCTGTATAATTCAGCTAGAGCATAACAGGAAAGCCTGCTGCTTTAAGCAGAGAAAAGAGCCACCCATAGCAAAAGGGCCACCCACATACAATCCTGCCTTAAAATGAGGCTGGGGCCACAGGCCACTGTGTAGCAAACGTAGAAATAAGTATACTCATTCTCACGGAGGATCAAACCCAAGGTAAAGCTTTCTTCAAAAACTGCAGATGAAATGTTGCACCTATTAACATACTGATATGTCAAGAGATCAGAATTTGTCCCCTCAAATATAATCACCAATGGTCACAGCATGCTAGAAACACAGTTAAGTGATCAGGCTGATTCATCTTTTACACTCTCCCTTCTTCTCACAACAGAATTTTCCTAGGGCTTCAAAACCTAGAATGTGATTTATTCTTAGCATTTGCCTTTCAAAGGCCCCCTCTGATCACCTCTGCAGATGCCAGACTGCCCTTTTACTGTGTGCTGAAACTGCACACAGGATGGGGTGGGGTGGAAGCAGGAAACAAAGCCCGTGGGAGCTGAGGGGGCATGAAGAAGCTGGCACCTCCCTCTCGGGTAAACCACTCATACTTTATCCCACAGCTGAGCACGTGTGCAGTCATGGCTCCTCGCAGAAGAGCTCTGCTTGAGCAAGGGGCTCAACTGAGAAGAAGAGAGTGAAGTACAGATTCTTTTCCCTATGCACGAATCTCACAGAGAACTCACAAATAAGGAGCCAGGCCCATGTGGATTTCTAGTATTGACAGTCACTTTTTACCTTCCCCAGACCACAATATGTAAACTGTTTACATAATTTCCCCTGCATGACTTCATTATGTAGAGAACTTAATTGCATGCAGGGGACTTAGAGAGGGTCTTGTCAAAGGCTCCATTTTACAAATAAGGATGATTAGTCTGGTAGAGGTTAAGTAGTATGAAATACCCATGTTCATAGGACTAGAACTGACAGAGATCAACTCAAACTCTTAAACTCAGTCTCTCCAAAATTTTTAAATAGCCATCTATGATCTGAAGGCTACATGCAGTTCACCTCCAAACTGATATTACTTGTAGCTAAAAAATTCTAAAGGAATTTCAGAAGTTTTACTCCTGCAAAAATATGCAGAGTAATCCTCTGTGTGTGTATGTGTGGGTACATGCGCTTAATTTAAACCTGAAATCAAAGAGATATGACTGAGTAGCTGGGTAGGAAGCCACCTAGCTGAGGAAATATGGTGAGGAGCGAAGTGTTTTGGCCATCTTTTGGAAGATGAGATTGGTTCTGCTCCAGTGTCTGGGGAGGGTATACACCTCTCTAGCAAACCTTCAGCTAAGCCCAGGCTCTGTAACAGTTACCAACTACAATGTTATCTGAGTCAAAAGAACCCCACACACGAGAAGCCTGTTACTACTATTACAGCCAAAGGTTACACACGCTGCTTGTGGCTGGATTAGCAGACATTAGCTCTGCTGTGTCCATGTATTTACACAGTCCTGAAGGATTACAGGCTGAAGCACAATTCTTGGCTATTTTTTAATAGCTAGTATATTCAGGATAACTGACAGAGTTCCTCTGGGAGAGCAGGGAGAAAAAAAGCTTGAAATGTAAGACTTAAAAGAAAAAAGTTTGAACATCTAGGAAGGGAAAAGAACACTAAGATAGTAATAGGAAAGCAGGAGAGTGAATTTCTGGCAAAGAGGAAAATTAGGTGATAAAGAGAGTATTCATTAGGAGAGTGGAAATAAGAGCTTTCAAGATACTTGGACAGCAGTTGCTACTAAGAAAAGTAGATAGAGTACCTGCCAGAAAGTTTTCAAGTGAAATCATTCATTGGTTATTTTAATTAAAAATACGACTACCAACCAAGGAACCAGCAGCTGTGGGCTGTAAACGAAGAGTTTAAAGTGCATTACACTGATTAATAAAAGGACTCTGATTAACCTTGCTGACTAGGGCATTTCATACAAGAGATAAGTATGATATTCTGCCTGTGTCATTAATGAGCCAAAACTCATAAATGTGAAGGAGAATCAAAATGTGTACTTGGAAAACCTTTGGGAATAGCCATATGGACATTCATTCGTGTTTCCATTATGCAGGTCATCAGGAGGAGCCTTTGAGGTGTTTTTTTAAAGATTTCTTTTGCGTTTGCTTTCACTCTGAGTACTGTGTACTTGTCTCATAATAAACTACATATCACTGACATTCCTTGACTATTCAATTACTTATTGCATTTGGCAGTTAAAAAGTTGTTCTTGTATTTATGTTTTCTTTAGGTCATTTCTATTTTAAAGTGATCATCTAGTAGATGCAATTTTGCTTACTTGTCTTCATTTTTGAGATCCATATCTCTGCTATTCCCTGGGAATTCTCTCAAACGCCAACCAGTACATTTTTAATGTGTGCTTTACAAAGTGCGAGAGAAGTTCTTTTCTTTTCCTTTTTGTTTTTATTTTTAATTAATAAAACATGATTTTATTAGAGTGTAGTGTTATAGCACGAAAGTCACGGGTTTAGATCCCCGTAGCAGCCAGATGCCAAGAAAAACATGATTTTGTCTGATTATTTGATTATGAAACTTAAAATAACTTGAAAAAATAATGAGATCTCTCTAACTTTAAGAATTATTACTAGGTGCTGGCAAAAGACAGGACCCACAGTTTGAACATGAGCTCTGGAGGCTGACTTCTAAAGCTGTTCTCTGTTGGACTGGTAAAAGAAGCCATTCAATGACATAAGTTTCCAGACTTCTCTGTAACCTAATAGCTTTGTTCTATCTTCCTCACAAAATCCACATTTTATATTTGCTTATGAGGTCCACTTTTGGTTATTGTTGTACCAATTAGATTGTAGATTTGGGGGAGCAATATTTAGATCCTAAGTTGATTTCTTCACCAGCAAATTTCTGAGTTACCTTTCCAAAAATTATACACCAATTTTTATATTGAGTTAGATGTATTTAGAAATAAAATTTGGTCACCTTTTGAAATCCTAGGAAAAATGTTATGTGTTCTAATAGAAATAAAATGGTTTAGAATTGATTGTACCACTATTAATCTTCTACTGGACAATCAAATGTTGAACATAGAAGTATATTATTAATTACACAAGAAAATTTAAAAGTAGCATGATATCTGTTATAGGTTTTACACATTGCCTTTCTTATTAAGCCAAAAATAACTAAAACCTGAATACTCCCTTACTTTAAAAGTAAACAGTAACATTCTGTTTCCTCATCGGGATGTTGGTTACACAGGTTTGTTTATCTTGTGAAAATTAACCATGCCGCATACTCATGATTTGTACACTTTTCTGTGTAGAGCTTTTCAAAAGTGTTTTAAAAAGCCAGAGAGTGTTTTAACACATAGCGGTTCAACAACGCTCAACGTCCAAAAGGTCTGCTTTGATTTAATAAAGTTTCACAAAGTTTAATTCAGCCACATACCCTTCAAGGCCACACAGAAATGGGTCCTATTCCTTAGAAGTATTCAGAAAGGAACTAACTAATTAACAACGTAGACCACTCAGCTCCACACTGTGCCCTGAGAATTTGTTTGTGACTTTAAGAAATTATTATAACCACCTTATATCTACTTTGTTTGGCTTGCAACTAGGATTCTATATATCCCTTACATTCCTAAATGAAATACTAAAAGGATTGATAATTAGCCTGGAATTATGTGAAAAGATTTGAAGAAACTTTGAAAAAGATGAGGCTTTAACCCAGATTTAGGACTAAAGAGACATTCTTATAATCATGTTCATGTTAAACAGAGTGTTTTTCTTTCCACACACGTGCACGCACACACACGCACAAGTGATCTCACACATAAACCCTGAAGATATAACCACAAATTCTATTATTTCTCTGCACACATCCACCTGGCATACATAAGAATGGAACTGTATAATTTTCTATCTCCCTAATTGAAAGCCACATCCCACAGTCCATAAAAACACCCAGTAGTGTGAACGAAAATTTAGCTCTGTGAGGACCACAGGAGTCAGCTCATATTGAAAAGAAGAATTTAAATATTGACAAGAAGAATTTAAAATACATTTTCTTCTCATTCAGGGCTTATGACATCACTGGGGGCAGAAGAAACAACACCATGCTTCCTGAGACCTGCACCTAAAATTTTCTTTTTCTTCGAAATATTTTAACATTTACTTGTACATAGTTGTGGGGCACAGTGTGTTGTTTCAGGTACATGCATATACTGCACAATGACTCATTTAGGGTAGATAGCATAGTTTTGTCCCCATTAGTCCACAACTTTTCCTCCTCCCTACCACCAAAAAAAAAAAAAAATCTTTCTCATAACCTCAGAATCTTCGAATGATCTGTGCAACTTGGCATGCTCAAGGGATGAGAACAGGCAGTCTTTGCAACACAGGATGGAATAAATTACCCTCCGACTTGAACCTGAGTTATTTCACACTGGGCACAAATATAAATTTTTAAAAACACCTTAAAAATTAAGTTAGCATTCAGACATTCTTTCACTGAACAAAGTCATGAGATGAAAGCAATCTCTAATTACACAGTATACAATTTTTTTAACAAGTCCCCATCAACTTTTTTAAAAAAAACAGACCCTTCCTTTATCTTCCAATCAAAATAGCAATGCCAATTCATCATAAAACTCTCAAGTTAAAATCACAAACACAGTAACTGGCATCAGCTATTCTTTACTCCCTTCAGAGCTGACAATCTTGAGACAGTAAATTAATGTAGAAATATATACCATTAGCATTTGTGTCTGGAAATGGATGGCACTGATGATTCATGTATGAACAGAAAACATCTTCAAACATAAAAAATAATTACTATCTCTCTAAATGTTATACACAAGACCTTATCGTCTATTTTGTTTAAACAGAAGTGATGTTCAGCAGGGTGTCTGTTCACAGTCCACTCACCAGACGGCCTAACTACTCAAGTTTCCCCAGTAACTAGTTGATTTGGGAAATCAGAATCAGTGTACTTCTAATTTCTTTCTGATTTATTAAACATGGATTCCAGAAAAATCCCTTACTAAAAAAAACTCTGTTCCAATTTTTGTTTTCCTAGTTCTTACTATACGGCAGATATTCTTTGTTAAGTACATCTACAATCTTGATCTATTATTATAGTCCAGGAAAAAAGTTAACTTTGGTTTTTCTGAGCCTGTTTTTTGTGCCTGAACTGAAAACTCATTAAAATGATGAGGACCATCCAGGAGGCTGTGCAAAAGCTTTGTCCATTCATTAACCCGCCATATGGGGGAGGGGTCCTCTTTTTAATTCACAGGGATATACACATGATATATCTTTAAGTTGCTGTTAATGAAAAATTAGCAGCCTGTCCCCAAGCCAGCCGCATTTTCCATACTAGGTTTCAACAGTCTGTTTAAGCATAATGTACAGATGTTTTCTTTTCTTTATTCTATATCATCATAGAAAAAAGTTAGAAACAGTGCATTACTAAATATAATTATTCAGAATTTTAAATTCTAGGCACAGGGTGGAGAAAGAAAAGAAAAGAAATAAATATATATATTAGCCCATGATGCATTCTAGTTTAAAAAGAAAGAAAACAGCAAATCAGAAGTATTTTTTAAATAAATAGAAAAAGAAACAATACAAGCTACTGATTTACACAGGATGACTGAGGCTGTACATTTTTTAAAATTCATTTTCTATTAATTTTACAATTACACCTATCTTTTTTACCTTGTTTATAAGACGCCAAAACCATATTCTCATCTTCAACTTCAAAAACTGTGTCCACATCTATTTGCCTTTGGACTAAAATAGCCTTCAATTTTCCAGAATCATTTGACTTTAGAGCCTCAAGGAAATTTTTCTTAACTAACTTGGCAGCTCCAGATTTAGTGACAGGGGCAGCGGTGCCGTCCATCCTTCCTCTCCCTCTGGAAGCTTTGTTGTGATTTATCAGGAGAGCAGCACCAAGCAAACAGCCACATGCTGCAGAGTGCACAAACTGTCGGCTAATTTTATCCCAAAGTTATGCTGATCCGTTCTATTTATATAGGGATCGTTTCAAACTTCAAAATATCCCTCTTGGCTGTCACTTAATTTTCAGGTCCTTTAAACTGGTTATATATTCAGTATCCATTCAGATCCATTCAGTAACATATAGTGTCAATATGAAGGAAAGCCCCCGTGATACACTTCCAAGCATGAAATGTCACAATTATTTCTTATATGATCAAAGTAATAATGTAAGATTTAAAAGCTCCTAATGCTCTTTTTTTTTTTCTCTCTCTCTCTCTCAGTAAAAACATCTGGTGTCTGGCTGGAGATCCAGTGTCTTGCTCTCATTAGCCAATAGCCAAAAATGAAAATTTGTTACAGTTGTTGATGCATGTGCTTCTCAAAACCTATAATAATTTTGTAATATGAGCCTGTAAAATCAAGCGCTGTCATACACATTTGAAAACAAACAGAAGGTTTTCAAGTGATCTAGACTTGAAAATTTTTCAATATCATGAAAAAGCAGGGTTGGGTGGTAGTGGTAGAGGATTGTTTTAGGTAAAAAGAGACAGAGCAGCTAAACACAACGGATGAATAATCTTTATTGACTCCTGTTGCTTTTTCTTTTAATCAGTTAGAAAATACTATATGGAGACAATTGTGGAACAATAAGTATAGACTGGATATTATTTGATAATATGGAATTGTTAATGTTTAAGGTGTGATGAAGGTATAGTGCTTATGTAAAAGAACATTCTTACTCTTAAGTGACACATTAAGGGACAAATTGTCATGATGTCTACAATTTCTTTTAAGATAGTTCAGAAATATGGACAGATAGATAGATGTATATACGCGTACATATATACATGTGTGTATAGAGACAGAGAGAAAAAGAAAACTTGGCAAAACGTTAAAAGTTGGTGAATCTAAAGAAGAATATAGGGGTATCCATTATATTATTCTTTCAGCTTTTCTGTAAGTTTGAGAGTTTTCAAAATAAGAAGTTGAAGAATAAAATATGTCCTCAATTTTATTACTTATAATCATTAAAAATTAGGAAAATGGTGACAGTAAGTACTAACTAGAATAAAAGTAAATCACATTTTTAAATACTGTTGGTGGGAGTCAAAACTGGCACAAACTTTCTGCAGAATAATCAGCAACATGAGTTCTTAAAAACTTAAAATGATAATTTACCTAAGTATGTAAACATGGATGCCAGTTACAAGATGACTTTTAACTTATTTTATTCATGTGTAACATAAACACAAAAAAGCAACAAGTCATAACTGCACAGCTTGTCAAATCTTCACAAAGTCAACACACCCAATTAACCAGCACCCAGGTCAAGCCATAGAATAGTTCAAGTTCAGCTGAAGCCCCCTTTCCATCCTCTTCCAATCAAAACACTCACCTACCTCCTGGTGATAACCATTACCTTGACTTTTAATACTATAGATTAGCTTTACTTGTTTTTTTATTTTAATTTGAATTTTTTAATGTTTAAAATGTTTTGTTAATTTTTCAAATGTTGAAGTTATACATTTAAAAAAAAACAACAGCAACAACAACAACAAAAAAGAGGGATATACAGAAATGCTTCCTCAACCAAGGGCTTGGTCCTCAGTGGATTATTCTGTGTTTCTGTGACACATTGCTTTTGTTGAAACTGTATCAGGATTATTAGGGGTCACTTTGCACATCTGCTTTGTGTTATAGTTGTAATTCATCCAACTGATACCTATTGAGTACTTACCATGCACAACACTTATTCTGGACACTGGATATAGTCAGCAAACAGACAAAAATCCCTGCTCTTGTGGAATTTAGCATGCTAATGGATTTAAGTGGTGATGGAAGTCCCTCGATCTTTTCCAACTCCTGTACATTAGAATTTGTTACAAAGTTGCTAATTCACTGAATTTCATACAGAAATAATATAGTTTGGTTACATTCAATTGATTAATCTGATTCCCCTTATAGGTGTCCCCATATTACCTAGTGGCAAATGGGAGGACAATTTAATTTTAGTCCTACCTGAGATGTTTATCTAATTTGATCTAAATATTTAGTAGCCTTTTTAGGTCACTTCTTTTGGATAAAATTCTCTATCTTCGAGAGTTCTGATTTTCCCTCTTAAATAGCTTCAGAGAATATGGGACAAGTACAAAAGCAAAATTTATACTGCTAATGTTTAACAATTAGTATTAATTAGGAGAGACTTTTGCCCATAAATTAGCAGTATGGCCAGGCCAGTGTGCACGGGGGGAACATCAGTCAGGGGAGGGAGTGCTGCTTATGAGACGTAGCGGTGACTGGGGACGAAGGGAGTCTTTAGACCGACTCATTATCCTCCTGACCCTCCTGATCTCCATGGCAGAGTGGCTTCTCACTAAATTGGTCATGTCTGGCTGTGTTCAGATTTCTGGCTTCCCCTGCTACTGGAGTATGTGATCCTGGTCATTTGCCTCCAATTTCAGTGTCATCAAACACTGCAGCCACTGGCTTGTTAGTGCAATGTATATTCAGAGATTGTGTGTCCTCTCTTCAGGCACATCACCACTCCTGTGCTCTCACACTTCATATAAGGACCATGAAGAAACAATTGCCTTCTAGTGCCGCCCTCTAGTCATCTTTTTAGGGCTGGATGGAACATGGAACTAAGCTGAGGATCAGAGTTCTCTCTAATGCCAGGCCATTAACCTCAATGTCCTCGGACTTCCTGGGGCATAACTGCTTATTTCTAAACCACCCACACTCCATCAAAGATCAACCCCAGAAGAAGTGTGTGTGGAGGGATGAGAATGTGGCATCTATCCCCTGTGTCAACCTGTACCTCCTCTCATAATCTGTCAAGACTTCCAGACTTCCTGGCTAGAGGGGTCCAGTTTTGGACATTTTACTTGTTTAACCTTTCCATTTTTCTTCCTAGGTTAGCAAGCCTGTTGACTGCCTTCTGTAGGTGGAAAAGTTATTATGTTTGCATTGTGGAAGGAACTCCATGATTTGAGTGCTTGATATACTAAAGAAGGACATAAAATGATTTTTAAAAATCCCCACTTTCTTAATGCCTTATTTTCACAGCTGTTGTCTTTCTAAAAGTCAACATTGAGACTTAAGCCTTATCAATGGCCAATTTGTCCTAGGGTGCCCCCCACACTTTCTTTCTTTGGGTTGATAAACCTCAAAGAACATGATTTAAGAATGAAATTACAAAGCATTGCTTTAGTATATAGAAATAAATTTAAAATTTTAACCTAAAGAGAAGGCTATCATTTTTCCCACAAAAGCTCCTTCAGGACTGCCCCATAGCTGTAAAAATAAATGGATCTAAATTTTGTAGGGAAAAAATTGAGAAAACAAAGCAAATTTCCATGCAGTTTCCATGCAGAAATATGTAAAATTCAGAAAACTATCTCTATTATTCTGCTAAAACTCAATTATTGACCCATTTATCTAAGCAGCAGAGGATAAAACAGAAATTATTTGCACTTACAAAACAAGTAGCGGCTTAATAAAAATGGTCCATCAAAGTCATTCTAACAATAGAGAACAATGTGACCAATGCAAATAAAACAGTTTGAGACCTGCCTACAGTACCCAGACCACTGCTTCAAGTCACCATCTCTCTAAGCCTCGGGAGGCCAAATTACACAGTGGCCATGCTTCATGCTGTCTACTGAGGCCTGTCAGAAATTCCTGTCTCCTTGGTTTGTAAAAATGAAAACACTCCATCCTGTAAGATAAGGTTTTTATTACTGTTTCATGACATGCCTAGGACAGTGTCCTCTGAGCTTGAAATATTATGAAGAGCTTTTTGACAAGGTGATGATGTTGTGGCAAGTGGCCTGTAAGACTCTCGTGTACTCTCTGGGGACCAAGGGCTGAGGAAGCAGGCACAGAGTCCCGCCTGCTTGTTTTCATGATGTCTGTGTACAACACAATCTGTCCACTTGGAGAATCTTCTCTGGAACACACATGGCTCTGTGGTTTATTACAACATTTAAACATGAATTTAACACTAGTAAGCCATAATTACTTATCAAATGCAACCTTAGGGAAAAAATTAGAAGGCCAGGCTTCTAAAATACCCCTTCATAAACCAGAAGTTTTGTGATTACAGAATGCCTTGGCCCTCCCTGACTTTCCCAGCAGATGAATTAGGACGTCCTTGCTATCAGCTCACAGAAATGGGTGATAAGGTGGTCTGACATCCTTTTCTTCTCATCTGTCATACTCTGGTGTACTATGTAGCATCTTACTCATTACATATCACCTTGTTTTGTTTGCTATTGTTTTATATATATTAGTGTTAATGCTTTGCGTAAAGACACTTTTGATTGTAACTCTAACAATGGAAACTGACAAACAGCAAAAATAATTTATTGGTCACAGAATGGAAAATTCCAGGTATAGTGTGGGTTTCAGCAGAAGTCTAATACACAGATTTTATCAACAGGGATCTGCCAGGCAGATGGTATTATTAGTAGTATAATTGTAATTGTTATCATTATTTCCAGTTTACAGATCAAGAAAACTAAGAACCAAAGACTATAAGTGAATTATATAAGGTAAGATGGTAAATAAATAGCAGCTCTAAGACTCAAACCTAGATTTTGAGACTCCAAATAATGTTCTCTTATTGCTCAAATGGTTTTTTATACAGTTTTGTTTATGTTAATTACAGATATTATATTTGATCACTGAATAATCTAGGAAGAAATCTGCTTATATTTATACCTTTATTCAGTAAATATTTATCAGGAACTTACTATGGGTCAGGCACTGTATTAGTTACCTTTTGCTGCATAACAAATAACTCTAATATGCATTAGTTTAACACAACCATTATCATTTATTACCTTTCACGGCTTCTGTGTGTCAGGACATAGTGGAAAAGACTTGTATCTGCTCTACCATTGACTGGTTCTGATTCAATGTGAGAGAGGATAAAAGAAAGGCATGAATATCAGGAAGTGAGAATCATTAGGGTCCATCTTAGCTACAATCAGGGCTTTTCTGAGCACTGTAGATACATGAAGAGAACATGCAAAATTCCT